CTATTTGTTTCCATCATTATTGCTGCGATATGTACATGTATATACTTTTCGTGAATAGAGGTATGAAATCAAAGCTTGAATTGTGATTATTCTAGCCATGTATATTGAATTGTGATAATCATTTTTTAAAATCAAGTTTTCACAAGAAAATCGGACAGTTGTTGTGACAATAAGCCAGTTCACGGTTGCAGTCTGAGCATGAGCAGATAAAGGTCATTGCAGAACGAATTGTGAAATTCACGGAGACGGAATACTGGATACGTGCTCATGAAAGTTATGTAATCACTATTCAGTTATGCACAAGCAGAGCACTCCATGATACACAGGTGGAAGTATTCTTTGAAAAGGGGAAACAAAGGCTGAGTATGTAGCATCTCCATCGATGTAGGAGTAACTATTTCAAAATGTACAAAGTGGGCCCTCTTCATGTTTTGAAGATCTGTGGATATTCGGGGTCATTGCAGTGATGTGCTAACCGTGAACTGGTCTAATAATTGCACGCTGCCCTCGTTAATATCAATGCAGTCCCACACTCTCGATTCTGTGTGGAACCGACATCACAGTCAGTACATGCAGAGTATGTGTATGGCCTTTTAGTGCATTGCAAATCTGGCAGCCAGCGGGAGTCGATTCCACTCGGAACCGAGGCCGAGAGTGGGAACCGAGATCGGTTCTCATCAACAAGAGAACCGCCCAAGCCTAGACTGTCATATAAAGGGCAGAAATTGAACTTTCTAGAAATGTGATTTTCTCTTTAAAATTCAGATACCACCCGCCAAATGACTTTTTGGTTTCCTCTCTTCAAATTGCTTTTGATCACTCATGCGTGAGATATGAATCATATGACTTGCATCAAATGAAAGAGGGTGATCTAAGCTTTTCAAATATGTGTCATTTATTAATTATAATTGTGATTAAGTTATGATAAAACATTGATAGTTCTCAGATTCGTTTTTTCTGGGACGCACTGTAGTTTATAGCCGTTGTGGACGATCCCCTGACTTTAGGCCCGTCTTCACTATCTCGAGATTGCCAAATATCCAGCTATTTGAACTATCCCGATCGAAACTATCCAGCTAATTTGCGTCTTCATTAGACCGAAGTAGCAAATTAGCTGGATAGTTGGTCGGGATAATATCCCAAGATATATCGGTCTAGTTTGCAAAATATCCCACTATTTCTGAACTAGCGGGATAGTTTGCGACCGTCTTGATTAGACCGAAGTACGGAGTCAAATATCCCGATCCCATCATGCACAACGATGTCCGGCGCACATGCGATCTATATACCGCTCAGCGCGCTGGTACAACTAGTAAACACGGAAAACCGGAAATTGTTGTGCATGATGGGATCGGGATATTTGACTCCGTACTTCGGTCTAATGAAGACGGTCGCAAACTATCCCGCTAGTTCGGAAATAGTGGGATATTTTGCAAACTAGACCGAGATATCTTGGGATATTATCCCGACCAACTATCCAGCTAATTTGCTACTTCGGTCTAATGAAGACGCACATTAGCTGGATAGTTTCGATCGGGATAGTTCAAATAGCTGGATATTCGGCAATCTCGAGATAGTGAAGACACGCCTTGTGTGAACGAAATTGCAGCTGGACTTGGTGTCGTTGTGTGGGCATTTTCGACGTCCAGCTGAAGCAAAATGAGTGACCACTGGTAGCGTTAGACAGGTGGTCGTTTTTGGACACTGGTTCTCAACTACATGAAATCTCAAGGGGGGGGGGGGGGGAATTTAAGTGGTCGTTATGGACAGGTGGTCGTCAACACAGGTTTAACTGCATACATGTAAATACCACACGTCATATTGCTGACTTACGTACTTTATTACTTTACTTTACTTTAATATAAATAGTTACATGAAGGCAAGATTTTTTTTACTGATATCATTACTGCATATAAGTATGCTGCCTGACCTGCCTCATAAAAAGGCCTAATTTTTGTACTTGTACACACCAACTCATAAAAGGGGCTATATTTTGTATTTTCGTAGCCTAAATAAAAGGGCTGCATTTTTGTTCCACTCTAACTATTTTGTTAGTCATTTTAGGTTCAAAACCAGGACCTTAGTTCTTGTACTTCGGGGCAGTCTTCCGCAAGACAAGTAGACCACCACATAAGGTTGTCATTATTTATTTGATCCATTTCATTTTTTTTTTGGTGACGGTTTATCGCATACATGTATCATTAATTAATTGTACATTTGTTACCTGTCTAAATATACAATGGATCATACCATTTAAATAAACCAAAGTTTTCCTCGTCTGATTTCGCAATTTAAATTGATTGAGAAAGTGATTGGGTGTTTTTGATTGATTGATCCCGTGATTGATTGTCGATAAAGTTGTTTTCTATGTGGTTCCGTTAAGAGCGTTCCATAAGCAAATTTAACCCTCTAACACCAACTCAACACACTGAATAAGAAAAACAAATTGTTGCTTAAAAAAATAATTACTCCGAACTTTTATGCATTTCAAGGTAAATTTCCAAATCTGCCTTGCTTTTCATGAAAATTTCTGTTGAAATTGATTGAATGACAATTCCATAATTCATTACCGGTAAACCTTATTTGGTATGTAAACATGTACATGTACTACTTCCTCGGAACATAAATCTGTAGTAATGGCCTCTACGTTATCACTATTAAAAATGCCTACATGTACGTGTACATGTATGTATTATGACTGTCCTGTAACTGTAAGCACTCCTTATATTTAAGGAGCAAAATCTGTAACAGAACGATACTGTTGAGGAGCCAAGACACATTAAAAACATGTAAAAGTGCAGAGGGAATCTGTTGAGATGGGGTTTGCTGAAGAATGTTTAAAAGTGAGAGAGAAAGGGGGGGGGGGGAGACAGACATAATTCTTTAAAATATGGCAACCTGCAGTGTATTGAGGATGCATATTTAGCTTAATGGACACATTTTAATGCAAAACACTAACCATCATATTATGTCATTTTCCTCTCAGGATGGGCACACTTTTCAATCACAAAAGGGAAAAATGTCATCGCTCAAGGGTGTATGCCCCTTTCATCCCAGAAATGGGTATTCGATTATGCACCCCTACATGTCTTTTTGCATGTAACGTTTACACCGTTTTACCAAAATCTGGCAGAAATGGATTAACATTCAATTTTCAAAGCCATGTTGGTAAGTGAAGCATATATGGATTAATGCAATCGAAATATCATTTGAAAGCATATATTAACTTGAAGTTAAAACTACTTTACAAGTTAAAGGCAAGGACCTGTTTTCAGAGAGCTCACAGTTTGCTTTCGGATTTTGTTTCATACAAATTAAATTGTAAGTTTCACTTTCATTGGAGTCCATACTTGTATGTGTAATTGAACACACACATCCACTGTTCAAATATGAATGCAATGAATTAATGAGGAAAATGCAGGCCGCCAATTAGGATTTTTTTTTTTTTGGGGGGGGGTTAAGGCCACTTTGCTTTCTAGAGCACCTTTAAAGGGATCCGGTTACTTTGTCTTAGATCCTTTAAAAATAATCCTTGATTTAGCTCATGCTGCAATGATAATTATAAACCTTTAGGTCAGTCAGGAACTCCATGACTTTTACAAGCCGATCGCCTGTCTGATTATCAAGATATTAATGATTGGAATTACAAATTTTGAAAACCGTTCACTGAACGGTTTTCATAACACTACAGTCTATTGGGGAAAACGAGTATGGTAAAACCGGTCACTCAAATTTTGTTACTTTTTTGAGGCACTTCTTGATCATTTTGAAAGCGCGATTTTTTTAGGGCTTCAATATTACACCATATCACAGACACTGGTAACATGTAGGACCATGTATCTCAGATTTAACATTGTTAAACCATCCCTTTAAACAAAAAGCGCAAATGGCCTTGGAATTAAAAAAAATATACATTTAGATACATGTACATGTATCCATCGACAGTGTACAAGTTGTAAACAAAATATATAAACAAATAAAAAACAATAACAAAATGGAATACATGTAGCTAAAACTATAGCTGTTTAATACATTTCTAACCACCCAGAATCAATACTAAATGACATTACACTTTACATGTAGTAAATATATTACAAAAGATATATATTGAGAGAATTAATCTTTAAACATTGTAAAGTAGTTATCAAGAAGCCTCATTGGACCAATATTCCCTTGACAAAAGTTAAATCACAAAATGTTGGCTCCTTCCCCCCCCCCCCCCCGACAGCCCCTTTCAATGCATAATATCCTTGGTATATATGTTTCGTATTTGCCGGCAATAAGGCCGCAGCGCCGCATAGGCCGCACCCTCGATTCTGACATTTAAAAAAAAAAAAATCTTTTTGTCGAAGGCGGGATTCGAACTCTTGCAGAGATGTGTAGATTGGAACCCGAAACCAGCTATCCCGAATCTAATGCTTTCCCATGCAGCTTTTTCTTGTGTATTGCATTGCACCATAGCTTTGATCGCGCGATCTGAGGATTGAGGTTGCTTTAGCTATGGCAAAAACTTAAATCTAGATCTACCAGTAGAGTTTGGTTGGTAAGTTATGAATTTTATTTACAAGATTGACAAAACTTTGCCCTTCATTTAAAAAATATAACACATAATTGTCGGTAAGACATGTGTTATTCTAAACAGAAAAGAATTCCGGTTGGAGAAGATGGGTGGTAGGAGCCATCTTCTCCAACCGGAGCTATAGTTCTCCTTAGAAATAAAAGCTAAGAAAGATAACCAACAGCTTTTTTTACCTTTTCAGGACTCCCCAATCCTCTCCCGCCCCCCCCCCCTCTCTCACATGGTGCAACAGCTAGCCGACTGTAAATGTATTCTTGTATTTGATTTATGCAAACATAGTGATCTACATGTATGCATATGTACGGAGTACAAGAAACAATGACAGAAGTAAAAGAGAATAAATACACAGAAGCATAATAACAAACAGACAAACAAAAACAAACTCTCATTCCACTGATGATATAAAAGCATAATGACTTACGGGTTGGTATTGTCGTTTGACTTGTTGCAATTCCAAGATAATTCGATGCTTGGCAATAGAACTCTGTTTCGAGGTCGAAATCTGTATCTGGAACAACCACAAAGTTGATTCCTGTTGAAGATTTAGGAATCTCAGTACCATCAGAGAATATGGAGTAGTTCCTTGGAAGTGGAACAGGTTGGTCTGCACCAACAATGTCACATGACACTCTGAGGCTTGTACCAGGGAACTCGAATGTCACCATCAGACTATCATTTCTGGGGGCACCTGAATAAAAGTAAAAATGGAAAATTAAAATATGCACTGATGGGATAATAATAATTATTCACATTACAAAAATTCAGGGAAAATATATGAAATTTCTTTTTTTTGAGAGCACCTGAAAAAAAATGCAAGTAAAGATTTTCCCGAAAACAACAATGAAATAAATTTAAGAATGACCCTGAGAGATACCAACAATGTATCGTTCAGCTTTAACAATGTCCAATTTAATCACCTCATGTATAGAGATATATACATGTACATTTTAGAATGGAGGAAGGGGAGGGTAGAGTGAAAGAAATACCTCTGAACCAATACCCTCTTGTCAATCTGGCATTGAAAGCTATAATATTCAAGGTACATCTGTTGCATGACAATCGCTAAATTACAAACACATACATGTACATGAGGAGAATTTTTTTTCTCCCTAAATTGATGAATACTTTTTAGTTATCCTTAGAGGAATTATTAACATTGTCTGTTTGGAGCCAGAAGGCTCTTACCTCATATCATTGTACATCACATGAACATCCTTCTGGCTTCAAACAATACTGGTCTCATGTAAAAGTTATTGTTTCTTTGAATTACTACAAACAATTTTGCAATAGTTGATCTCAATTTTTGTTTTCAATAGGCCTACTATATTATTCTGTTCAGTACAAATGATCAAATATGCAAAGAGGTCACTAAACTTACTATGCGTTTCAAGAGTAGCTGTTACTTCTCCATTGAGACTAGATACATTATGCCCGCTGATGACACATGTCAATGTTTGACCATTGTTGTCAATGGTAGCTTGAAATGTGCAGACGCTCGTCTTACTAGACAGACCTGGTGCAGGAGTGGGGTCCGCTTCTCCTTGATCATCACATGGTATAGTACCATCACCTAACATCCATGTGATGGTTTCTTCTGGTCTACCTCCTACAGCTTCACATGTTGCTTCGAACATGTCATTAATGTCGCTCTTTATTGGACTAGCTGGCAATACGCTCCATGTCCCTTGGACTGCAAATCAAAAGAATTAACACATATTAAAGGTGGTAGGTAATACATTTAGTAACATCACTAAAGTGTGACAATGTAATTTAAAGGCCTTTACCTTTCATTGAAATGTGTTTATCAAGCTGACAGGAAAAATGCTACACAACAGGTAAAGATTTTCACCCCAATCCCCATGTGTACTTCAGGGTAAATCCCCCCCCCCCCCTCCCAATGTGTAATGACAACTTTGGTGATAATAATACATGTATACATTTTAATACACAACACGTTCTCGTGCCCATTAAATATGTGGTGATTTCTGATTTAAGTAGTCTCTTGTAACTGGTCTTGAATGAATCCGCCCTCTTTTGTTAGCTTTTTAGCTTGTGATCCTCGACGGGCGCGTGTCGGGTTGCTGAACTTGTCTCCAAGCTAACAACAATGGTTGGCATGGTAGCCACCTTGCATGCGTCCGCCGACTTTACCTTGCATTTCAACTTGTACTTAGGTTTTTTTTTTTTTTTTTTTTGTACTTTTCCTCTGAACAGCAGCAGTGCAGCTGCCCTCCCAATAACTTTCTAAACCTTAATATGCCATGTACTTTCTCCCTCTTTTCCTTTCTCTCCTAACTCTTGCTTACCTTCCTCGTATTCACCTCCTTCTCTCCCTCTCTCTCCTTTTCTTTCTGTTACCATACTTTCCTTTCTTTTCCCCCCTTCTTCTTTCTTTTCTCTTTCCCTATCTCTAATTCCTTATGTCTTCTTCCATTTATCCTTATGTTGTTTGTAATTTGTAATTGTATTCTATGTACAGTATTCATTTCATACTTTTGTATTTTGTATGCATTTGAATATTTTGGTATGATTGTAATTATATTATAAATTTTGTATAAGTTGTGAAATGTTTATGTATATGTATCACCTGGAAGGAAAGTTTCTTCATTCTTTGGAAGAAGACGATAAAATTCTATTCTATTCTAGCCAACACATGTAACAAACTGCATGAAACAGTTTGCTTTATTCAGGTCCTGGGTCCTTCTAAATTATTTACATGTTTATTTATTATACCTTGGAGGACACACATTCGTAGCGCGGGAAGTGTGCGCAGCCAATGCGCAAATTAGTCCTTAACTAGTCGTAAATATGCGTGCCCATAAGCCAACGGACACGCATCGGCATGCATCGGCGCGCACTGCCACAACTAGGTAGCGTTGCCAAACAAAATTGTTGTGCCAAAATTTTGAAAATTCTTATCACGCATTTCACGCACGGCCCACATCCTCCCACACGTTACCACAAATACTTTCCGCATTGGCACGCAAGGGTATGTGTCTATGCGCAAACCAAAATGCAGGCAAGTGTCAACGAGGCATGAGAATACCAGAAAATTATTTGCTTTATATATGCAGGGCTGTCAACCCTCCCGCATTTGGAGGGAGTCTCATGCCACCACGCTCACTCTCCCGCCTCCCCAAAAGCTTGTAGCGGGAGACTTCCGCCACCACGTCTTCCTCCCGCTCTCCCGCCAACGATGTAGAATCTCCAGGTTTATTAAAAAAAACTTCCTGCCAAACCGTACCGTATACCCCCCCCCCCCCCTTTATTCAGCGGCTGGCTGAGTCATTGCGAAATTTTCCCGCTTATTCAGCGGTTGGCTTGATTTGGCACTCAATATTTTCTCCAAAAAAAATCTCCCTCCAAGCAGTTTCCCAAAGTTAACAGCCCTGTGTATGCTTACCCTTAAAAAATAGTGGGTACTTGTTTTGTTTTTGTTCCTGATTGACAAATTAATTCTGCCAGGAAGTCCCTGTGCACTACACCCCCCCCCCCCCCCCCCCACTCAGTGTTATTTAGGGTATGCATATATGCATGTTCCCTCCTTTTGAAAGTCCGATGTGTAAAGTCAATACGGGCCGGATTTTTGTGTACTACGAGCCAGACTTTAGTGCGTGAAAAGTACCCCTATACCGGACATTTTGGTAACATGCATGGTATCCCTCCCTTCACGGAGTGGGGGGGGGGGGGGGGTCGGGGCACTACTACATGTACATGTATGTACCGGTATGCATTTAATTTGTACATGTACAGGGATCTATTAAACCAACAACTCTGAATAAAGAAAAAGAATGACATACACCACAGAGACAGAAAATAGGATTTCATTATCGTGTTGTACAAGTACATGTATACATCCCAAATTAAAGAGAAGGTTGAGTATTGGGAAGAGGTGAAAAATAATTTGTGAGCGTTATCATTTTATTAAAGATACTATGTCCCTTTTGCAGCCAACATCAAATGCTGTAGAACTTTGCAGGAATTGTCATGTACAGGAAAATATACCTTTATGAACATGATAATAAATATCTGATACTACACAATAATACAAATCAAATTTTAATATTTTTCCTATGATTACCCAAAGATCAAGTATACTGTTAACTTACATGTAAATGGAGAGCTACATGTACATGTACATACACGTACATGTACATACATAGGCAGGTACAACATTAATATTCAGTAAAAAAGATTGTTATAAGATTTGTATGACCCACCTTCTACTGTAAGTTCTGCCTCATCAAAGTTTCCTGCTCCTTCAGTACATCTATATCGTCCTTCATCTTCAATCAGAGTATCGCTGATTGTCATAGTGGATGTATCCCCATTTTCTGCTAAATTAAAATTGACATATTTTGGATATACCAAGGGATCGTAAGCCACTTCCCCGGCAAGGAAGATATTAAAACCTGATTCCACCTCTGAAAAGTCTTGCCATAAAAACACATATGGCGATGGTCCTCCAGTACAGGTGTAAACTGTATCAGTCCTTTGCTGTATCGCACCGGCAGGAGGACCTTCCAGATTCACAGTTTGGCCACATGTTGCTGAAATAAGGAAGAGCGATTTTGAAAATATAGATTAGCCACTACATACTACAGTAAGTATCCAGTACCACTAAACATAATGCAATATTTCCCTGCATCCCCCTCCCCCCCCCCCCAAACAAACAAAATAATTATAATGAATTTTTAAAAATTGATTAAAAAATATTACTTATTGAGTAAATGTAAGGTTTTTGTTTACCTGTAGCTCAATTCAATCAATTTTGCAAATAATAATCTAAACGGAGGTTAGAATCTGTGCTACTATACTTTGTACACAATTTAATACAGTTTGAGATCATTCACTCATACATGTATCTTCATGGCAGTGCATTATTTCACTAGTAATGACGTAGACCTAGGGTTTCCATTATAACTGGAGAATGTAATTTGTCTGGTCCCTATTTACCAAGTTTCCCCATCAATGATCCTGCACTTCTTCAGATAATATTTTTGAAAAACCATATTACGTTTACCAGTTGCCATCTAGTCAAGACAATTTTTCCAATTGTATTAAAGGCATTGTTTAAAGCTGATATTCTAAGCAAATAAACGTCCCTTAATTTGGTACCTACGGCAAGCATAATGTTATTTACAAGTTTTTCAATTACAAAGTATATTACAAAAAAAATCTGGCTATTCAAAATCCTCCATTGAAATGTCGAAAATATCCGCCTCTCTTTGCATAGAAATCAGTCACGGCGCTAGTCTACTATTTATGACATCAAGTCCGGGAAAGAGTTCACGTACCCGGATGTTCCATAGAAAGCATGTGCAGAGAGATATGATTTTCTGCTTATTTTGGTTCAAAGGCTGAAAAGTCTAATAAATCACAATTCTATGTACAATTCTTTACCTTCCCCTAATATTTCATTGTATTAATATCAATTCCCCTTTTAAAAATGTTGGCATATATATGCCAACGATGGGCTATTAGTCGTTATTTTCACCATGTAATTTTTGTTTTTGTGTTGAAATCGGCCCAGGCCGCACGGAGTAAACAGTAGCTGTCTGGTACTGGTAAGTGGACCCATGCACAGTTCACTACCATACAGCGATCTCCGATGGTTTCTTCTTCCTTTTTCCCATGTCTTTCGCCTTCCTTGGCCCTGAAGATCCCTCATCTTCTTCCATG